GACACTCTTGGTGCACCCCCTTGTGGGCTTTGTGCACAGTCTTGTTGTAGTTATGCCTTGATTGTTGTAGGTATCACTGGGAGGAATTGACCTCCAGGCCAATTGGCAGTGAGAATCAGCTGTGTCTGCAGTGGGAGAACTTCTGTGCTGGAGACACCCCTCCAGGGCAAGACTTGCTTCAGTGGGGCTTTGGTGCTCACTGAGTCTGCCCCCTGAGTGTGTCCTTTATGGATCAGAGGAGCTGTAATCTGGATGGTCCCACTCTGACCACCAGGCACACTGGCTCCTGGATCTCTAAGGAGGTGCTAATCTAGCCTCTGCCTGAGGCTACCCAGCAGAAGCCAGCTGTGAAGCAATGCAAGCTGCCCTGGGGCCTTGGGGCAGCTGCAGTTTGTTAAGTAATTTTCCGGTTGCAAAGGGCCGGGCCTTTCATATGCAAAAGCCTCCGTGCACAGCTTGGACGGGGCGGGGTCCCAGGGGATCAACAGGGCGGGCTGAACGAGCAGTTATGGATGCTCTCAGTCCTGCCCTCAGAGGCCCTGCTTCTCAGTGTCCTGGCAATCACTTCGAGCACCTCCGAGAGAAAGCTGCCCTCGAGTTCCGACTGATGCCAGACAGTCCCGTTTCTCCCGTATGAGTCTGGGTCCCCAGAGACTCGCCCGGAACTGGAGCTCAGAGCTTGAGACTCCCTCCCAATTGAAAAAGACAACCGTGTCCTCAGCCGCCAGCCCTCTCCGCATGCACCTCCGCATCTTTGTATTTTACTTCCGCACTGCACCTCCTCTGAGTCTCGGTATGCTTTTCTCTTTCCTTCTAGTTGTAGAATTTCCACTCAGCCAGCCTTCCTGTGGTCCTGGATGATGTCCGTTCCGTCTTTTAGTTGTATTTTTGAAGTGGTTGTGCGAGGCAGCAATCTTCGGTGTTTACCTATTCCGCCATCTTGGTTTCTCTATTCAAACAGCACTATTTTAAAGAGAGGTAGATCTGGCTAGGACTTGAAGGTCCAGGGAGAGGATACTCAGGAATTGATAGGGTATTTAGTAATGATGATTGTATGAGAGAAAAAGATTATAAGATAAATGACATAATGTAACTTCAAGGACTGTGAGAGGAAACAGATGACCTTTTCATTAAAATACATTGAGGCCTATGAGTTGATAAGTGATGTGGATCTTTACAAAATTCCAAGAAGAATTATAAGGTAGAGTAATCACACTTATTTATAAAATACTTATTTTTCAATAAGAACCCAAAGTCCATAGTCCCTTTAATGAAGAACCCCCAAAACTTTCCTAAAATATCCATTCACTTTGGTAATGCTAATCAATTTATTCCATAGCAGCAGAACTCTGCCCAATTATAGCAGAGGTATTAAAAATCATGAATATGTTAATATGTTATAACTACCATTTCATTTCATTGGTTTATCTATCTACTGAAATCCCTGTGAATCCTTATTGCCAGATTAAAATAGAGGTTAGACTACATTTCTAAATATTAAACCTTACTTATATATCTGATAAGGGTCTAAATTTGTAAAGAACTCTTACAACTCATCAATAAAAATACAAATAACACAGTTTTTAAAATTAGCAATGGATTTGAAAAAACATTTATCCAAGAAGGCATACAAATGACCAGTAAGCACATGAAAAGATGCTCACATCATTGGTCATTAGAGAAATGCAAATCAAAACTACAATGAGATACCACTTCAAAATCACTACAACAGCTATATTTTTTAAAAGGGAAAGTAAGTGTTGGAGAAGATGTTGAACTCTCATGCATCGCTAGTTGAAGGTAAAATTGTGCAGCTGCTGTGGAAAACAGTTTGGTAATTCCTAAAAAAGTTAAACAGGGAATTACTATGTGATCCAGAAATTCTACTCCATGTATATCCCCCATCACCACCACCAAATTAAAAACATATGCTCACATAAAAACCTGTACACAAATGTTCATACGCAGCATTATCCATAATAGCTACCAAGTGGAAACAACCTAATGCCTATCAGCTGAAGAACAGATAAATAAAATGCTGTATATCTATACAATGGAATATTATTTGGCAATATAAGAAATACAGTATTGATACATGCTACAACAAAGATGAACCTTGAAAACACTATGCTAAGTTAAAAAAGCAAGTCATACAGGACCATATATTGTATGATTTCATTTATAAAAAATGTCTGAAACAAGCAAACCTACAGAGACTGAAAGTAAGGCTAAGGAACATGGGAACTTGAAGGATGTAGTCTAAGAGGTGTGAGGTTTTGGGGGGGATAATGAAAATGTTCTAAAATTGATTGTAACAATGGACACACAGCTCTGTGAATATACTAAGGGTCACTGAATTGTACACTTTATTACATTTTTAAGTAATCTTGTATTGATGCTTTGAGAGAAGGTAACATTCTTTTTTTGTTTTAAAATGTATTTTTATTGATTTCAGAGAGGAAGGGAGAGGGAGAGAGAGATAGAAACATCAATGATGAGAGAGAATCATTGACTGGCTGCCTCCTGCATGCCCCCTACTGGGGATCGGGCCCACAACCCAGGCATGTGCCCTTGACCAGAAAGAAACCCGGGGCCCTTCGGTCCACAGGCTGACACTCTATCCACTGAGCCAAACTGGCTAGGGCGAATTGTACACTTTAAATGGGTGAATTATATACTATACAAATTATATCTCAACAAGCTGTTAAAATACTAAACCTTATAAATTATCAATCAATATTTATTGAATGTCACATTATCAAAGTAGTAGAGTGCATGAATGATAAATAACATTTTTTATATCAAGAACATAAATAATTCTTGATCATCACTTTTAATTATCATAATCTTTTAAAATAAAAATTATTAAAAGTTCTATATGGGAGAACATATTATGTTAATTACCTTAGGTTCACTAGGTCCCAATTTGGGGTTAAGAATTCCTTCTAAATACGAAGCTTTTTCTCTCCATGTAGGCAGATCTCTATATTCTTTTTTCATTTTTTCCAGCCTAAAGAAAGAAAAGACAGTTATAGATTTAAAGAGCAAGAAAAATATGTATGGTAGATTCACAAAAGAATACATATAGTATGATCCATTTTTAAAAGTTCTAAAAGAGGCAAACCAATAATATATTGTTTAAGGAAACATTGGACCTAAACTATATATTATATCGGACTGGCTTAACAGTTACAAAACATTCCATCCAATAGCAGTAGAATATACATTCTTCTCAAGCACATATGGAGTATTCACCAAATTAAAATAATATGCTTACATAAAAACCTGCACATGAATATTTATAGCAGCATTATTCATAATAGCTGCCAGATGCAAATGCATATCTTCTTTGAAAGTATATACACCCAAGAGTCTCAAATTAGTTCTATAAATTTTCAAGTACAATGTTTGGCACTCGATAAAAACAACTTGGTATATGATAATATAAGATTTGACAGAAAACTATAAGAAAAAAGTCATCAACAGAAACAAACTTACAGGAGGAGATCCAGATAATGGAGAAATGATTCATATATTCAAAAAAATTAAGAGCTACAACTGAGAACTTTGGTAGAGAAATGGAAACTATATAATAAAGGGAAATTCCACAACCAAGAAGAAGAAAACTGAAATTAAGAATTCAATTGGTTTAACAGCTGATTAGGTACAAAGAAGAATGAACCAGTGAACTGTAAATAGGTCAGAAGAAAACACCTAGACTGAACTACAGAGCAGAGAATGAGAGGCCTAAAGATTCCATTGTTGAGTCAGAAGGCAGAGCAAATATTATATTTCCTCCTGTGAAAGAATTTCAATCTAAATGGAACCAAAGGATACAAAATGGAAAATCTCACCCATGTGAACTCAGAAAAACAAAATTTAAGGACTGAAAAACTGATTTCCTATAAATCCCTAATTTACAGAAAACTGAAAATATTAGAATTTTCTTAAATGATAGGAAATTAATCCAGGGTTGCCTCACTCATATCAACCTGGGAAGTTTTATGGTTCCCAGATCATGAACAAGAAATTACCCAAGTCATGTTGGTCTTGCAAAATAGTTAAATTGAGCTGTTTGTATGACTGGCTGACTGGTTTTCTCAGCTCAGGGAATTTTCAAAGCTCGTCTCCATTTGTTTTTTATTTTTCCAAACTCTACATTCCCTGTCCATAAATACAGTCTACCCCAAACCCTCAAATGACTTACTTATAGCTTGCTACAATTTGCATGTCCTCTGTTATTCCTGAATAAACTAATGTTTTCGACAATTTTTACCTTGCCTCAGTTTACCTCTTTATTTTCTTTTTTTTTTTAAATATATTTTATTGATTTTTTTACAGAGAGGAAGGGAGAGGGATAGAGAGTTAGAAACATCGATCAGCTGTCTCCTGCACACCCCACACTGGGGATGTGCCCGCAACCAAGGTACATGCCCTTGACGGGAATCAAACCTGGGACCCTTCAGTCTGCAGGCCGACGCTCTATCCACTGAGCCAAACCAGTTAGGGTGTCCTCTTTATTTTCTTGACACTACCTTATGAGTTCTCATTTCTTTTCTTGCCATAGCACTGACTTTTTAAAACACCTAAATATGATAAGCAAAACTCAGGTATAGCCTCTGAACCCATGAAATATAACCATGATAAAGATTCAGATTAATAGCAAGCCCATGCCTCAAAGGAAAATATTAATATACAAGTAACACATACATAATATTTTAAATATATTTTATTTTGTTTTTTACCTTTCCCGAGGTTGTTGCAGAAGTTTTTCAAGTCGCACTGGAGGGGGCTGGTTGGATTGGTCTTCCGGAGGTGGCATCCCAACAGTAACTTTCAGGTCTGGGGATAAGAATGCTGGATATTCTATTGACTGTGGTATAATAATATTTCTGCAAAATGGCAATAAAGTTAAATATTAAAATTACACAAAAGTACACTTCTAAAACCGCTGGTAGCTATCACTTTAGAATCTTTCTATTTTTTACACTGTAAGCTCACCCTGTCTACCTTAAGCCATCAAAGGACAAGCTGGAAAAGAAGACAAAGTCAGAAATCCTCAGCGAAGTGCTCTATGAGTACTCCTACTACTAAGATCATGGGCAGCAGAGTGGGAAGGAAGGACCTAAAGTTCTAAAGAGAAATGGAAAGTGTTTGAGCCCGGACCTCACTCCTAATCTCTATCTCATGGCCCAGTCAAGTTGACACATAAAATTTACTACCACATCCACCTTTTGTCAACTCGGCACCCATAAACATTTCCTTAAAACATATTTAGTCACCAACTGAAAACAATAAAGGTCATAATTCCTCCTAATCTGCTACAACTATCCTACACACAACCAAAAACTCACTAGCCTCTTCCTCAGAAGAGGAGGTGCAAAGTCCTTTACCCTTCTTCTCGCTATCCTGAAACTTAAATTCTATAATGCAAGGTTAACAATATTTAAATATTATGATGTAAAGACAACATATCTTATGTTAAATGATAAGAAGATAAGAGAGGGAAGAAAATAAAGATATTTGCGATATATAAGGGTGTCCCCCCCAAAAATATTTGTACACACACTTTGAATAATTATTAATTCCAATGGGTTAAATTTGAAAAGAAAGAAACATCAAGTGGGCTATCAGCTGTTCAGTATGTATACATTTTTTTTGGGGGGGGGGGAGACACTGTATTTTCAGATCACTTGGTAAATGGGCCAGAGTAGCACACCCAAATGAGAAATGTGTTGCCTCAAAAATCCAGAGGCTCATTAGATGTTGTGCCTCTTTTTTTGTTTAGGAGGGGCCAGACACAACTTACCCTTTACCTTAGAAACGTTTTGACAAGCTCCATATCACTGATTCCTAAAATTTCACTGTGGTAGAAGGCACCTGAATTTTGTCAGATTTATTTCCCACCCTGACATGCAAATGTCTTACCAATAAGTCTAGAGCTATGTATGGTGCCAGGAGGGTACTAGAATTATCAGGGGGATCACTTGGTTAATTATATAATTGTCTATCCACTGTTCTGTACACCTGGAACTAAAAAATAAAAAAAGTATAGTTCTTGCTCACTTGATCTAATCAGCACAATGTCATCACTGTGCTGGACCAGGGTGATAAGTTGTTTAAGGGAAAGGTGAAGAGTCCTGTGAAATAAATTGGGACATATAGGACTGGAGAACTGATACACCCCTCAGGTAGAACAGTGAAGGTGTGTTGCTGGCCATGCCAGCTGATAGCAATCTGCTTGATGGTCTATATCAGTGGTCGGCAAACTCATTAGTCAACAGAGCCAAATATCAACAGTACAACGATTGAAATTTCTTTTGAGAGCCAAAATTTTTAAACATAAACCATATAGGTAAGTACATTGTTATTAACTTAATTAGGGTACTCCTAAGGCTTAGGAAGAGCCACACTCAAGGGGCCAAAGCGCCTCATGTGGCTCGTGAGCCGCAGTTTGCCGACCACGGGTCTATATTAACAAGCCTGGAGAAAAAAGCATATGCCAAGTCAATAGTTGCATACCAGGTACCAGGGAATGTGTTAATTTGCTCAAGCAAAGAAACCACATCTGGAACAGCAGCTGCAGAGTCAGCACCTGCTTAAGCTTACAGCAATCTACTGTCAGTCTTCAAGATCCACCTGCTTTCTGCACAGGTAAATAAGCGAGTTGACTGGGGATGTGATGGGAATCACCTCCTGGATCTTTCAAGTCCTTGATGATGGCACTAATCTCTAATCCCTTGAGGAATGTGGTGTTGCTTTTGGTTTACCATTTTCCTGGGTAGAGGTCACTCTAGTGGTTTCTATTTGACCCTTCCTACCATAATATCCCTCATTCCACAGGTCAGGGAACCAACGTATGAATTCATCAACTGCTGAGTATATTTCTTTCAACTATGTATTCTGGAATGAGGGAAATAATTCATGGCTGGGTTTGGGGACCCACTAGGCCCGCTGTGGGATGGATCAGAGTTAAAACTCCATTGATTACCTGACCTTCATAAGCCCCTGCTCTGACTGGTCAACAACAGCGATGTGTTGGACCTTCTGAAATTAGTGTCGGCTCAAAGCCAATGTCCAGTAACTCTGAAAACTTGGATTATTTCCTTTCCCTAATGCACAGTTATCCTGGTAAAATGCTAATGGCATTTTTTGACCACAGACAAACTTTTGGCTGGATTTGGAAGTAACACTGGAGTGTGTGGAAGTCAGGTAAACATTACTATACTGCAGAGCAGAAAACTAAAAACTATTAGACATCTTGATCTTAAAAGTCCCTCACTTCTTTCTCCAAAAGGAATATCCCACTGGCCACCCCTCATCAGGCCACCCCCCTCCTTCCCTCCTTCAGCTATGAAGCTGTCACCCACCTCCTTTATTTTTCTTATCTCCAGACCTCCTCACCAGCTCTCTTCAGGACTGTAACCAGAAACTCAAATTTTCTTCCTCCTTTGTAAGCAAAACAATTCACTGCTCTCTTTACCTTGGAGTCTAACCCATTCTGGCCATTTCCTAACACAACCAAAATGCTCACCGATCAGATTCAATGTTTGAAAAGCCACATGACCTGACAGTGTTAGTAAACTTAAACACTTACGTCACAGGGTCTTTTCTTTCCGGAGGTGGTGGGACATTCATAAACATAGGTGGCTCAACAATTTTCTGAAGAGGTTTTAACTGAAAAAAATGGTAAGTATATTTTAACACTGTTTAACGACAGTTACAGTTCACCCTACTACTACTATTCTCCAGGACTATAAAATAGGCCTTAAGCAATACATATAAGGAGAAAAGAAATTAAAAGAGGAAGAAAGAACTGATATCTACTGAGCACTAAATATCTGCCAAAAGGGGAACTAACCTGATGTGAAAATCCATAACCAAAGTTTCCATAGGAGAACATAAAGTCCACCTCCATCCTGCAGACAAACTAAACATGTGGCAAACTTACTTTATTGTTTGATCAGAAAAATATTTTAATCAAGAAGTGATAACAAGTGATATTTTTACTTCACAAATTTATAAGTTAGAAAACCAAAGCATGAATCTCCTGATTTACAAACAAAACAAAAACAAGCTAATAAAAAACCCCACATTTACACGAGGAAATCTTATTAAAAAATCTGAAATTACTGAAATTTTAAAAACTTTTGGGTTAAAGTTAGGAATGTTATATGACTAAAATATGGAAAATATCAATTTATAATTGTTAATAGGATTATGCCAAGATACATATATATGTATGTATATATTCATATACATGTATATATATTTTAAAGTATTTACACTTCTCTCACCTCCACTTCCATTTTCAGATAATTTTTTTGATTCAGACACTGAACTCAGCTCGCTAATATGTGAAATAAAGGAGGGTGTCAGAAGTAATAACCTCAAATGTCCATCATTCTGGTTTTTTGTTTGTTTGTTTTTTGGTTAATCTTCACCCCATAATATGTTTCCATTGATTTTTTTTTTAAGAGAAAGTGGAAGGGAGTGGGAGTGAGAGAGAGAGAAACATCAATGTGAGAGAGACACATTGATTGGTTGCCTCCCGCACGCGCCCCAACCAGAGCCGGGGATCAAGCCTGCAACCGAGGTACATGCCCTTGACCAGAATTGAACCCAGGATCCTTCAGTCCACAGGCAGACACTCCATCCACTGAGCCAAACCAGTCATCATTCTATTTTTTATGTCCTTGTCCCTGTTTTTGCTATTGACAGCAGAACCCTCTCTGAACAGAAGTGCAATTAATCAAGATAACAATTTTAAGTACTTAAAAAGAAATTCAAGTCAGAACTGTAACAACTCTTCAGAAACTCCTCAAGGAGAAAAGTACAGCTTCCTCTGCAAGGGAGGATCCTGAGGCTGTGCAGTCAAAGGAGCAGTGGAGGCATCTTGCTCTCTTCCCCAATGATTCTCATTTTCTCATTCACCATTTAGCAGTCAGATAGTTTTTTTTTTTAAAAAAAGGTGGAGATAAAGTTTTTATGAATAAATATTGTACTTTCTATTTAATATATTTCCATTAATTCAAACAGTGTCTAGCAGGATACCAAAAGAATAAAAACAATAGAGGCTACAAACAGTATCAGAGTAAAGTTATGAAATGTTAATTAAGTTTGGGCAAAAACTTTGGAAGTTTCAGTAAAGCTCTTACTGTGTTTTCATTCAACATCTGAAATTCTTCAGTAAAGCACCCTTTCTAGAAAAAAGTAATAAATAAAATTCTTAAATATAGACTCACTCATGTATATAATCTAAACCATTTCATAAATTTTAAAAAAATCAGATAATGATTTTAATGCACATACTAATTTAATAGCTAATTACAAATAAAATGAATATTTGGAAGGAAATCAAAATTCTAGGTTGAACCAAAAATAAATATTTATATTTATGTTTTAGAAAAAAATCTTCCTGCTAGTTATAGGTCCTCCTTTTGGAAGTCTTAAAGGACCTGCCTACAGTACTTTCAGGAATCATTTCTATAGTTTGTGATTGAAGGGTTACTTAAACATAAATTTAAAAACACACACACAAAAAACAAAAACCATAAACCTACATGCTAAGCTGACTCCTGACAGAACTGGAGGCTTCTCCCATCTTTCAGAGACTGTTGGGATCTTTTAAACCAGGTCAACCTTTGGTGTCCTTGGTCACCATCTCTGGTCATCTCTGCTGTGTTATCAGTTCTCCCACTAATCCAACATCCCACAGTTCCCTTCCTTCCCAGCATCTTCCACCTCGACTCGTGAAATTCCCATTCCATGATTAACAACTTTACATCTTTTTAAAAATATATTTTTATTCATTTCAGAGAGGAAGGAAGAGAGAGAGTGAAACATCAATGATGAGAGAGAATCACTGACAGGCTGCCTCCTACATGCTCCCTACTGGGGATCGAGCCCACAACCCGTGCAAGTACCCTGACTGGGAATTGAAAGGTGACCTCCTGGTCCATAGGTTGACGCTCAACCACTGAGCAACGCAACAACGTTACACCTTTAACGGATCCACTATACCTCCCCCCTTTACTTTACCTGAGACCCAGTTCACCACTAAACTCCAGTGAAGGACCACCTACCTCCAGGTCAGGAGGAGGGGTGACATCCTCCACACTCCCTTCTGCTGTTTCCAGGTAGAGAGGAGCAGTTTTCCTCTTTTAAGCCTCATGCTATCTGGCATCTCTTTCAGACATTCCAGTCACTAATCACTAATTCTCACTTAGTGAAACATGGATCAGTCAAAATAATAAGAACCAATATACACTTCCCCTGGATGAAACACCGTCTAATTTAACGAGTGTTAAACTGTTTTAACATCTGGCCACGTTTATGTCGTCTGTGTGTCCACATACACATTTACTGCACAATTTAGAAGTTGCAGCGTCATCTCACTTGACTCCTAAATGTCCAACTCCCCCTGCATACTGTAAAGATAAGGATAGCCTTCCACATGACCACAGTATTGGCATCAGACTTTAGAGAACTAACAATTTTAGAATTTTATATAATATGCAGTATATATTCAAATTTTCCTAAATTTCACAAGAATGTCTTTTGTAAATTTTTCAAATTTGTATTCAAAGTTGTTGTATCTCTTTTTAATCTTGAACAGTTGCTCCATTTTTTTTAATGACTTAACTTTTTAAAGAAGCAACGCTGGTATGTCTCCCATTATGCATTTATCTGACCATGTCATCATTTATCTTTTTCCCTCTTCCCTAAATGTTAGGTCAGTTAGGTCTAGACTCAGGTTAGTACTTAAACGTTTTGATGAGAATAATTCCTAGGTTGTGTACATCATATTGTACCACGTTAGGTGTTAAATTGTCCACAATCTCTATGCTAAGTTTAAGCTCTTGGTTAAAGTGGTAGCCACCACATCTCTCCACTGTACAGGCACTTTCCCCTTTGTAATAATTAATCTGTGGGCTCTTACTGTGTGGCACCATGCAAATATCTTATTCCCCAAGCACCTTTTACCTAATGTTTTTAGTACCACTGCTAACTTTTTAAAAAATATATATTTTGACTTTTTACAGAGAGGAAGGGAGAGGGATAGAGAGTTAGAAACATCGATGAGAGAGAAACATCAATCAGCTGCCTCCTGCACACCCCCTACTGGGGATGTGCCCGCAACCAAGATACATGTCCTTGACCGGAATCGAACCTGGGACCTTTCAGTATGCAGGCCGATGCTCTATCCACTGAGCCAAACCAGTTAGAGCCACTGCTAACTCTTGACTGAATTTATTTACTATAAAAAGTTGTAAAGAAACCAGAAACACCAATCAGAAAGGATATATGCACCCCTATGTTCATAGCAGCACAATTCACCATAGCTAAGATCTGGAAACAGCCTAAGTGCCCATCAGTAGATGAATGGATTAGAAAACTGTGGTACATCTACACGATGGAATACTATGCTGTTGTAAAAAAGAAGGAACTCTTACCATTTGCAACAGCATGGATGGATCTGGAGAGCATTATGCTAAGTGAAATAAGCCAGTCAATGAAGGAAAAATACCACATGATCTCACTCATTTATGGATAATAAAGACCATTATAAACTTATGAACAAAAATAGATACAGAGGCAGAGCTGCCTCGAACCAACTGTCCAACTACAGTGGGAAGGCCGGGGAGGGTTGGGGGGCAGGAGGGGGTGGTAAGAGATCAACCGAAGGACTTGTATGCATGCATATAAGCATAACCAATGGACATAAGACACTGGGGGGTAGGGGAGGTCAGGGGATTGTCAAGGGCGGGGGAAAAAAAGGAGACATATGTAATACTCTTTGTAATACTTTAAGCAATAAAACAATAAAAAAAAGATTTTAAAAAAGTTGTAAAAATGGTGAGTTTGTATTTCTGTCACTCCTTCTACATTTATAACTGGCATTCTTCTGTTTAAAAATAAAAAGCTTCCCTTTTTCTTCCCAGTCTCTCTCTCTTCTCTCTGTCATCACCAAGGATTCATTGATTTTTCCTTAATTCGAAATTTGTAACGTGGGAGGGAACACTCCTAGGAAGGAGAAAGCAAGAGAGAAAGACTCATAAAATCTGTATATAAACTCTGTCCAAAACTTTGGCTGACTCCTAAATGACACAAGCACAGGGCAGACGGCACGCAGCCCAGCTAAGGATAAAAGACCTGAAATTTATGCTGCCAACTAAGAGGTAGAGTTAGTGGTTTGAATCTTATTTTAAAATATTTCAGAAAGCGTAATAAAACATGCTTAATTTTTCAGGTTGTATCACTGCCCTTCCAGAAAATAAAATTTCAAAAACATTACACTGTTATAAACCAAATCTCTCTCTCCTTTTTTTTTAACAGCCAGAGGGAGATAATGTTTCCTGAGCACATGAGTTTGAAGGCAGATAATAAACAAAAGGAACTCATCAGGTATAGGTAAATCTTAACAATAAACACCAACTGGACAATGTGATACCAAAGTAAAAATGTATTTGGATACATACCTGAATTACTTCATAAAGGTGTACCTGAACACGCCCTAACAAAATATGCTTTTCTTTATTATCATATTGCATTAGATCCAGGTAAATATTATTCCGTGCATCATTTTGACGTCTGGGAACCTTGATAGAAAATACATATAAAAAGAAGCATTAAATTTTCAGTCTGAATTTCGGATATAACTTCTGAATAAATACATCCATAAACTATATTATATTATGTGCATAGTCTAATGATTAGTTTTCATGTTATTAGTCATAACTTTTCAAACTCAGAGACACTTATACTCTAATCTCACAAAAATCAGAATCTTCTTTATGTCTAATGTCAATTACAGTCTTTTTGAAACACCCATGCCTACATTCTCTCTCTTTTTTTAATCCTTACTTGAGGATATGTGATTGATTTTAGAGAGAGGGGAAGGAAGAGAGAAAAAGAGAAAGAGAGAGAGATGAGAGAACATAGGTTGCCTCCCATACACGCCCTGACCAGGAATCGAACCTACAAACTAGGTATATTCCCTGGCTGCAAATGGAACCCGCAACCTTTCGGTTTACAAGACAATGCTACAACCAACTGAGCCACACCAGCCAGGGCTACATTTTCTCTTTTAACTCTATACAGAAGTTTAGCCTCAACACTCTACTGAAACTGTAATATTAAAGGTAATCCAATATCCAACCCAAGTAATCTAGGTAATCCAAATATCCAATACCGAAAGACATCCAACATCCCTTTCAATCTTTTTTTAAAAACTTTTTGATAAAATGGACATCGTTGTCTCAACTTGGAACTTTGAAACCTGTAATACCATTACTATGTCACCTTTAAAATCCATACTCTCTTGCTAATTAGAAAAATACCTCATGCCTTCCTACCCCAAGATTCTAAGTCAGGGGTCCTCAAACTACGGCCCGCAGGCCACAGGCGGCCCGCCGAAAACATTTATCCGGCCCGCCGGGTGTTTTTGCCACCACTGTGTGCATAGGAATTTGTTCATAGTTTTTTTTTTTTTTAACTATAGTCCGGCCCTCCAACGGTCTGAGGGACAGTGAACTGGCCCCCTGTTTAAAAAGTTTAAGGACCCCTGTAAAAGTGTTAAAAAAAATTTAAGTGATATATAACTGACATCATTGTATTACTTTTAGGTGTGCAAATAATGATTTGATATTTGTATATATTGAAAAATGATTATCACAATAAGTTTAGTTACCATCCATCACCATACAGTTAGAATTTTTGTCTTATGGTGAGAACTTTTAAGATCTAGTCTCTTAGCAATTTTCAAATATACAATATAGTATTATAACTATTGTCACCATGCCATACATTAGATACCTAGAACCTTTTGACCACCATACCCATTTCACCCACCCCCAAAACTCCACCTGTGGCAACCACCAATCTGTTCTCTGTATACGAGTTAGGTTTTGTTTTTTTGGTGGTGGTGGGTTTTTTTAAGATTTATATTTATATGAGATCATGCAGTATTTGCCTTTCTCTGTCTGACTTATTTCACTTAGCATAATGCCCTCAAGGTCCACCCATTTTGGTGCAAATGGTAGGATTTCTTTCTTTTTTATGACTAAATAATATTTTTATTAAAAATATTTTAAACCTATTCATCCTTGATGGATTCTTAGTTTTTCCCCCCCATGTATTGGCTATTGTAAATAATGCTGCAATGAACAAGGGAGTGGAGATATCTTTTTGAGATAGTGATTTTGTTTTCTCTGAATAAATACCCACAAGTAGAATTACTGGATCATGTGATAATTCTATTTTTAATTTTTAAAATATACTTTTATTGATTTTAGAGAGGAAGGGAGAGGGAGAAAGAGATAGAAGCATTGAAGAGATAGAATAATTGATCAGCTACCTCTGAGCCATGCTGGCTAGGCTGTAAATACTCTTTTTTTAAAAAAATAATATTTTTTTATTCACAGACAATAGGGTGCTGAAGGCCTGGGGTGGGGAGGGCAGGGGCTGGCTGGAGGGAGTTAATGGGGGGAAAAGGGGACATATGTAATACTTTCAACAATAAAGTTTTCAAATATATATATTATTATTGATTTCAGAGAGGAAGGGAGAGGGAGGAAGGAAGAGAGGGAGGGAGAGAGAGAGAGAGAGAGAGAGAGAGAGGGAGAGAGAGAGAAATATCAATGATGAGAAATGAGGTTTTCCATAGTGGCTGCACTAATTTACATTCTTATCAACAATGCACAAAGGTTCCCTTTTCTCCAAATCCTTGCCAACATTGGCAATTTCTCATCTTTTAGATCATAATCATTTTAACACGTGTAAGGCAACATCTCACTATGGTTTTGATTTGCATTCCCCTGATAATTACTGAAGGTGAGTACCTGTTGATCATTTGGATGGCTTCTTTGGAAAAATATCTCTTCAGAACCTCTGTCCTTTTTTAATTGTCTTTTTTCTATTAAGTTGTATCAGTTCATATATTTATAAATATTTGGATATTAACCTTTTATCAGATATATACTTTGCAAATATTTCCTCCCATTTTGTAAGTTGTGTTTTCATTTTGTTGATGAGAGATGTATGCTCTCATTTTGCTAGTGAGAGTATACATATTTGAGGGGATTACTATAAAGACTGAAGAAATTAATGCATGCAAAAATAATTGGAGAGATTTTATATAAGAAAAAAGAAAAAGGGGAGATGAGAAAAAATGGTGTGCTATGAACGGAATGTCTCCTCAGAATTCATGTTGAACCCTGAACCCCCAGTGTGATGGTATTTGTAGGTGGGGTGTTTGGAATGTAATTAGGTCATGAGGGTAGAGCCCTCATGAACTGGATTAGTGCCCTTATAAGAAGAGGCACAAAAAGGATGATCTCTCTTTGCTCTCTGCTACATCACTACAACAATGAGCAGAGGGCCAGCTGCAAACCAGGAAGCAGGCTCTCATTAGACAAAAGATCTGCCATCACCTTGATCTTGAACTTCCCATTCTCCAGAAAGATGAGAAATAAACGCTTGTTGTTTAAGCCACCCAATCTATAGTAATTTGTAATAGGAGCCCAAACGGATTAAGACAGGGTAGGCAATGGGGGATAGGAGGGTAAGAGCAAGACAGAGAAAAAATGCATGTGTGATAAACCCCATACAGTAAGATCTCAGGGAAAAAGACCACCAAAATTGTGCATTTTACAGTAACCTATTTATTTTTTTAAAGGGTACTGTTTTTGTTTCTTTCCTATCCCTTCCCAAAGGATATAATTAATGTAGCACATTTGAAACAAATGTATTCTTATATCTAGGAGAAAACGTCAACATTACCTGTACAGAAAAATACTTCACTTCATCAAACTTAATAAGAGTTTTCCTTTCATTAATGACAAATGGTATATTTTGGGTTAGCAAGCCACACAGTTTTGTACATTTCACAATGTTGTTTATAGAGATACGAATGAAAAAATTGTTCTTGTGCTGTACATCGACTGAAAACACATATTTAGGAAGCAAATTTTGTTGTAATTAAACAATAACACATTATAAAATTAATCTATTAAACAATTCAGGCTAAAACTTAAGAATCAATCAAATAAATAAAGAGGTCATTGTAGAACACATTAAACAATGAAAAGTCCTTTAAGATAGTATTTTTGCCCATCAATGTTAGGTACAATATAACTAGGAAAAGGTAGATTCTTTCTTAGATCAATTCTCATATTTTTATAGTCACATTTCCATTATAATTCCCTTGCAAATTTTTCTATATTTTACGGTGAATAAGCATTTACAATATATAGTTGAAAATTTTTGGTAAGCATAATTATATAGAAGTTTTAAAAATATATCATTTGAGAGTAATTTCTTTTTAATTTTAGGACAAAATTTAAGGCAGTATTCTACTTTAATTCACTACATACTCACTTATACTATATTGGCTTGTTCTTTTACTTTTCATAGCACTCCATTAAAACAATATTTTTTTCATCATTTAACTAATTATCTTCAAAAATCTCTTTATGTAGAATTCTTTTCTCTAATCACTTATATAAAAAAGAAACACCAAGTCTTCATAATGAGACTGGGTTTATGCCATGATAAATCCAAGAAGAGGTAGGTATTCAGCTTACTTAAGGGTACCAAGGTAAGCCTCCCCCTACCCCCCCACCAAGATAAATAAATCCGTTTTAAGAGAAGCACAGTTATTTCTTAGAAATGAATTAGTAATATATATTCCAAGAAGACATAATATATATTTTCCTTTAACTTAGATGGTGATTGAGTTAGGTTAAAAATCTTTTGTCACTCTCCACATCCAAGAGCGACATTTCTTGTTCTCTGCTCTTAAGTCTCGCCTGGACCAGTGACTGCTTTAACATGCAATGGACTTGACCAGGCTGGGACTAGGAAAGGCACTAGTCAGGGTGCAAAATTTAAGGGGACACCAACAACTTCAGTAATGAAAATAAGTAGTTTTTTAATGTAATCCTATATAATAAAAGAGAAACATGGTAATTAGCGTACGGCCGCTACCCTTCCCATTGGCTAATCAGGGCGATATGCAAATTAACTGCCAGCCAAGATGATGGCCGGCAGCCAGGCAGCTGGAAGCGAACATGAGGCTTGCTTGCTTCAGTGAAGGAGGACTCCAACGTTCCCCGCCTGCCTTGCCGGCCTCTGAGCTGGCAGTTTGAAAC